ACACACACACACACACACACTGTTCAATTCTCAACTCATCAAATTCTAGTGTTTGTTTTCAGCCATTAAACAGAAGAACAGAGAGAGAGAGAGAGACAGCAGCTGTGTGTGGATGGAGTTCGACCAATGACAGGAAGGTCAGAGTGGAACTGTAGTAGAGGAGGTCCTGTGGCTCCCTCTGCTGGATTGTGGAGGGTAATAGTTCGTTTTCTTTCACAGTTTATTAACTTGGGGTCAGAGGTTACAGTGTAGAGGAAGGTACTGTAGTACACTGTAGTACCCTGTAGTACACAGGGTATACAGTGTACTACAGTGTACTACAGTGTACCACAGTGTACTACAGTGTACCACAGTGTACTACAGTGTACCACAGTGTACTACAGTGTACCACAGTGTACTACAGTGTACCACAGTGTACTACAGTGTAGCACTCTTAACACCCTCACTGCCCCGTGTCGTCTGTTGCCTCTTTGTGTCAGTTGTTTGGAGCCTCTCAGTGTTTGAATTGCCCTCAGTGTGAAAACAAGGCCCCCACTCTTCTGCCTTTACGTAACCTCTCAGCCCCCCCCCACACCCCCCCACATACACACCACAGCTCAGGCGTCACAGTTTGATCACATGGACTGTAGTTTAAATAAATAATGATAAATGATGATGTCATCACACCTGAGGTGTTTCTGTGACCTCTGACCTCATGACATCACTGTTATTATGGTCTGGTCAGAACTACAGCTCATCGTTTGTTTGATGGTTAGTGTGATGTCACAGTAGGTGATACTCATGTGTACTGTATAGTACTTACTTCCACAGATTACAGGGTCATGTGACCTCCACAGAGCTGCTGTTCAAACACACACGAGTACTGTACAGTACACACGAGTGCTGTACAGTACACACGAGTGCTGTACAGTACACATGAGTACTGTACAGTACTCGTGTGTGTTTGAACAGCAGCTCTGTGGAGGTCACATGACCCTGTAATCTGTGGAAGTATGTGGATCTGTTCAGACCAGAGCCGTTCCCTCGTCACCACTCTGGGCTCAGACCAACGGCTGGACTGTGGTTGGGTCAGCAGCAGAACTCTGTTCACTGACAGAGCGCCCTCTGCTGCCTGTCCTCAGACCGTCTCCTCTCTGTGGATTTACTGCTGGACGGTCTCTCTGAGAACTTGACGGTGAACGGCTCTGTTTTCTTCAAGTGTTGGAGGTCAGATCAAAAACATCTCTGGGGTCAGTACTGGCTGGGGTCAGTACTTATACACCATGGATCATGGACATTTAACCAGCAGAGTTCTGAAGCGGAGTCTTGGTCCTGGTTTGAACCAATCAGACGTGTCCTGAGGGATGAGTGCTCCTCCCTGGTTCTCTGCTCCGTCTCCCCCCCGGTTGGGGTGACGTCTCAGGGGACACGGACCGACAGACACCGAACCTGAGGGTAAATCTCTCTGCCATGGAGGTGATTCTCCACCTGGTCACGGCGGACCCCCCTCCGGCCCCCGCCCCACCACCTGTGAGTCAGCACCTGTTCAGTGTCGTAGAAAAGTCAAGGTTTGGACTCAAATGATTTACAGCTAAAAACCAAGTCACTGAGTTCTTGTCCTGGTTGACAGTAACTAGTACTAATACTTTAACAGTCGGTACTGATGAGGGTTAAAGGTCAGTCCACCAAATCAGGATTGTACAGTTCAGCTGCTGTGATTGGCTGAGACACAGAGTGAGTGGTGACAACAAAGAGAGGAGGAAACAGGAAGTAGAACTGTTTATAATTCAAGATGGTTCAGACAGAGCGTTGGACCCCTGGACCCCTGGACCCCCGTGTGGATGGTTCTCTGTCTTAATCTGAGATTATTAAATCCTGAACAGATTATACTGATGTATGTGGAACTCATGACAAAACTAAACAAACACCAAGTGTAAGTTGATAAGTCTGACAGCGTGACCAGGATAAATACAGTGTGTGTGTGTGTGTGTGTGTGTGTGTGTGTGTGTTGGTTTATTTCTCAGGTCCAGTTGGTCAAACATTAGGTCGTTCTACACTGTGTACCTGTCCAGGTCCAGGACCAGGAGGACGGAGGAGACTTGTAGTTGGGGACAAGGTCAGAGGTCAGGAACAGACAGGACAGGAAGTGAAGCTTGGACCCGGTCTGTGTGGGTCCATGTCAGGCCTTATCAGCGGGTCTATAACCTCTTATCTGCTCGGGGCGGTGGGGCAGTTGACGGGTGGAGCTAATCCGTCCTTTGCCCTTTTTTATCTGCACCACTGGCTGCAGTGAACACTTCATGTTCAAATAATTAAGTCATCTGTGGGGGGGGGGGCTGGGATGACCTCACCTCCAGCACCCTCTCCTGGTCCATGCTGGTCCTGCACCAGCACTGGGACCAGCTCCACGTTAGGGAGGGAGGCTCACTGCTCACTACTGCCACCACAGGTGTGGAGCTGCACGCTGTCACACAGCTTCACTGCCAGTGTTGACGTTTGTAGACTTTCAGCTCAGCTGAGATTAAAGTTGTAGATACAGACGTTCTGACTCACATCCTGGGCTTTTAGTTTAAATCACAGCTTAATTTATAAACTTGATTTCTTTCCAGAAGAGTCCGTACGGACAGACCAGCTCTTCAAGTCGGGGCTCAAACTGGTTATCTTGTTGATGTAAGGCAATGCCTATAACCGCTCCCTCACTGTGTGGTGGTGGGGGGGGGGGGGGGGGGGGGGGGTGCAGGGCGGTGACAGTCTCTGCTCTCTGTTGTAAATGCTAATTCAGAATCGTCTCCTTGTATTTGGCAGAATGTTCCTTTAATGAAGAGGCGCTGGACTGGTTAGTCCTGATCAGTCCACGGCTGCCTCCTATTGGCTGACACAGAGACAGGAGCAGAGTGAACCCCCGGCCCAGACACTGATGTTCATTATAATAAAACCTGCAGTGACACGTCGATGAGTCGTTGACTTGAATCACTGACTGCAGCTGGTCTGTTCACCTGGTACTTTCTGGTCTGTTCACCTGGTACACGCTGGTCTTTTCACCTGGTACACACTTGTCTGTTCACCTGGTACTTTCTGGTCTGTTCACCTGGTACTTTCTGGTCTGTTCACCTGGCACACACTGGTCTGTTCACCTGGTACTTGCTGGTCTGTTCACCTGGTACACGCTGGTCTTTTCACCTGGTACACACTTGTCTGTTCACCTGGTACCCGCTGGTCTGTTCACCTGGTACACGCTGGTCTTTTCACCTGGTACACACTGGTCTGTTCCCCTGGTACACCCTGGTCTGTTCCCCTGGTACACACTGGTCTGTTCACCTGGTACTTTCTGGTCTGTTCACCTGGTACACGCTGGTCCAGTCCCATCAAATCAGTCAGAGTGTCAAAGATGGAAACACACACACACACGCGCACACACACACTGTACTTATCTGTACTAGGAGTACAAAGAACAACTAGTACTACAAAGATGTAGTACTGCTACTGTAATACTCTGATGGGAACTGCAGATTTATTTTTTCTGGTTTGTTTTTTTTTCCTGAGGATCTCATGATATAATTTTTTATTTTTTTTGGAGCCTTTGAATGAACAGAACTTTACTTTAGTACTGATTAAACACAAACATTTCACCAAGACATAACTGATAAAACACTGTTGTTTGTGACTGTTACACTGAGGAAGTCTGCAGGTTTGACCCCGCCCTCAGGTCTGACGGCTGCTGGGATTGGCTCCAGCTCCCCTCAGCCTCTCAGGGTAGAACAACGATAATGAGACTAACCGGGCAGGCATCAAATACACACTTTGAAATACCTA